GGGGTGGAATTCAGATTTCAGGCGTAAAGGAGCAGTAGAGCATAAAAGGAGCCAGTCTTTCATATGCCCAGTCAGTAGCAGTTTCTGGATTATGCCATGGGGCCATGTCTTACACAACTGTGCGGGACACTGGCTGGGCACAGGATAAATTGTGAGAGACCTGTACCCACGGGTCCGTTTGTTGGTTACTAAACTTTAATTCTAGGTGTCCACCAGGGGGCGTCAGAACCCAGGGCTGCGGTGCTCAGTTGTGAATAGCCACTGTTGATGGAGGGTTTGAAATCTGTTGGCTCATTTGGTCTTTTATGTGGCTGGGCAGAAGCGGCAGGCGCGTGGGAGCAGCTGGCAGCACTCCTCCCAGTGCCCCAGTAAGGTTTTGAAACTGTCTGACTTTGCCTGGGGGCATGTGAGCCCCGCCCATCTGAGCAGTTCCAGGGAGCTCTGACTTGCCCGATAGGGAAAGGCACGGTATGTTCTTAGTCCCGGGAGGACGTGGCCTGGGTTAGCAGATAGCCTCATGCCTCAGAATTCCTTCAGAAATCCCTCTCCTCATCTCCACTAAGAGACAGATGGTCCCTTCCTGACTAAGAAATCTTCTTCCCTTTGTCAAATTGAATTGTTTGCTTGGATACCAGTCGTGACCCCACACCTCACTCCCCTCCTGCTCAGCTCAAGCTTTCTCCTAGGCACTGGGGATGTGCGCGGGACCAAGCCACTGCCTTTTCTTGTGGCCTCCTGGAATCACTGAGCAACATTTGAAAACTGTGGATGCTGAGCCTCACCCCAGAGATGAGAATTTAATGACTCTGGAGTAGAGCCTGGGCAGTCTGTGTTTTAGTTTTGTTTTTTGTTTTGAGTAGGCTCCACACCCAATGGGAGGCTTGAACTCATGACCCTGAGATTAAGAGTCACGTGCTCTACCGATGGACGGACCCCCTCCCTCGCCTGAGCCAGCCAGGCGCCCCTGGGCATCAGTGTTTTTTAAAAGCTTCTCATGTGATTCTCATGTGCAGCATTATAAAAAATCTGTGGGTCCAGCATGCCTGGGTGGCTCAGTCGAGTAAGCATCTGCCTTTGGCTCAGGTCATTATCCCAGTATCCTGGGATCAAGTTCCACATCGGGCTCCTTGCTTGGCAGGGAGCCTGTTTCTTCCTCTGCTCCTGCCTGCCTGTGCTCTCTCTCTCTGACAAATAAATAAATAAAATTCTTTTTAAAAAAAGGTAGGGGGGAGCGGCTGGGTGGCTCAGTGGGTTGAGCCTCTGCCTTCTGCTCAGGTCACGATCTCAGGGTCTTGGGATCAAGCCCTGAGTCTGGCTCTCTGCTCAGTGGGGAGCCTCCCCCTCCCTGCATCTCTGCCTACTTGTGATCTCTCTCTCTGTCAAATAAATAAATAAAATCTTTTAAAAAAATAAAAAAAAAAGAAAATCTCTGGGTCCAAAGCCTTGCTCTTCAAAGTATACAAGCTTCATAGAAATGTAGAATCTTAGCATCTCCTTCTGTACTTGCTGAATCAGAATATGCGTTTCAACAAGATCCCCAGGTCCCTTGGTTGCTGAATGACCCTGAAGTTGGAGAAGCGCTGATGTCATAATACCCTGGCTGCTCCCCCGTGCTCTCACCTGGCCTGAACCACAGCCTCCACAATGCTGTCAAGCCGGAGCAGGGGTTTTTGGGAGCACAAGTTTTTGACTGTGACCTACAGAAATAGATTTACTATCAAGGAGCAGAGCACATGTGTGTATTTAATGGAACAAAAAGATGTCACAAGAAAAACCCCTTTACTACCTGTAAATGCAGAAAGAACCCTTCATCATTGTGCATTTGGGGAGGGAGGAAGGTCATCAGAGAGAAGTAAATCCTGAGGATGAAGGGCATGCTAGATTAATATAATACTTACTTAAAAAATTAAATGTGGAGGTCCATCTAGATGCTCATTATATATGCTCTGTTTCTTGATCTGGGTGCTGGGTATATTCAACTTTGTAAGGTGTGCATGTTTTTACACTTCCCTGGATGTATGTCACACTTTAATAAAAAGGTCAAAAAATTACATTCTCATATTTTCTATTTCATTATTGTCCTCTTCCACTAAAAAAGGGAAAAAAATCCAGTCAAAACCCACTGAACCCATTGAATTCAGGTCACCTCCTGCTCACAGGTTGCAACAGTAGTTTAAAAAAACATTTCTCTATTAAAAAAAAGAAAGAGGACAAAAACCTTCAGCCCAATCACTCAGCAGCATCCACTGCTCTTGGCTGAGCACCAGTTTGCAGGTATGAGCCAGGCTGCCCATCACTGCCCCACGGTTGCCTTCCTTGGCCTCCTGTATACCCCTCAGTGCAGCCATCTCACGGTGGAGAGTCTTAAAGGCACCCCCACAATCTTGCCTCAGGCAGCTTGGTCTGCCTCCACTTAGAACGAGACCCAACAAGCCCTTCCCCCGCTCCACAGTCACTCTGCGGTGGGCAACTCTCAAGTTCCGATCTGGGAAGAGACTGGTACAGGCACGTTACAGGGTTGGGGTTTATCCCCACAGCTGCCTTCTGAAGCTCCTGAGTTTTAGGCTTCTAGACTATGTCTCACTTCCTCCCATAAGCTGTCAGCTCCCTGGGGGCAGAGCAGTTTCCCTGGGTGTCTCCAGGCTACTAGTAGTACTGGGCTCGCAGAACAGTGCAGAGAAGGAGACAGACTGCCTCAGATACCTCTCAGTACAGCCCCCAGGGCTCAGTGGTGGTTGGGGGGACAGTCCAGGAGTTGGGACTAGGCAGGATGAGGAAAGGGAGCAGGAGACCTCTTTTTTGTGAAACTAAAGCTCCAGATAACCTTGCACTAGGGATGTAAGAGGCGTGGATCTGGCTTGTGGGCAACTGGAGGGGAGGTGGAAGAAAGGGGAGTTGGCCTCCCTAGACAAATACCTAGCAGGGCAGACCAGGATACAAGTGCCTCGACCTCTTGCTTTGTTTGATTTGGAGCTTGATTTATAGGCTTGCATCTCTTGAGCCCCCAAATCTAGTCAGCCCCAATTCATCCCAAGGTGAGGCTCCTGGGTTTGGCATTGCCTTCCGTGTGTTTGTGCTTTTGAGCAGACTCTGGAGTCAAAAACTGGATCAGGATTCTGACTTTAATACTACCAGCTGTATGACCCTGTGCAAGTTACTTAATGAGGTAAAGTCCGTCTTTAAAATGAGGATTGTAGGGGGCGCCTGGGTGGCTCAGTCCTTAGGTGGCTGCCTTTAGCTCGGGTCATGATCCCAGAGTCCTGGGATGGGATCTAGCCTCTAGCCTGAGCCTTGTGTTGGACTCCCTGCTCTGCAGGAAGCCTGCTTCTCCCTCTTCCACTCCCCCTGCTTGTGTTCCCTCTCTCGCTGTCTCTCTCTCTCTCTGTGTCAAATAAATCAATAAAATCTTTAAAAAAGTGAGGATGGTAATGAGTACCTCATTCGATTGTGGTGGAGGTTAGATGGGAATACATGCCAAGTAGGGCCTTACCCACAGGAAGCTTCCCTAAACCTTAGCAAGGGTCATTACTGAGGTAGTGTGAAGGAATTTGGGAGAGGACGCCTCTCAGATTCCTTCCCCTCTGGCTTTTCCCCCTGAGATCAGGCAACAGGGTCAGTCCTGCCTGCCCTAGACTCTTGGACCAGGTAGGGTGTATTCACCCTCTGCTCGGTGGCTCTGGCTTCCTGATTAAGGCAAGCTGCTTCACACGCCATTATCAAATGATTTAATGGAGGGGCACCTGGTGGCTTGTTGAAGCATCTGACTCTTGATTCTTGATTTCAGCTCAGGTCATGATCTCAGCCTGGGATCAAGCCTTGCACTGGGCTCTGTGCTTACCAGGAGGCAGCTTGAGATTCTCTCCCTCTCCCTTAGCCCCTCCCCCTGCTTATGCTCTGCCCTCTTTCTCACTCTCTCAAAAACAAATAAATCTTAAAAAAAAAAAATCATTTAGTGGAAAGTTGCCCTGCCTACCTCAGAGGGCAAGATACCATGTGCAAATCCACCCCATCCAGCCCCCCATATGTGTCTGGAACCCATCCCTTTTTCATTGCCCTCCTGCCCTCTGGCCAGGGCCCTGGGGCCCAATGCCCGACAATAGGGGTGCTGAAAGAGCCATCCTTACACAGATTGTTGATGTCTGATCCTTGGGACAGTTCTCTTTGGACTTGTTTTATTATTGTACCCATTTTATAGATGAGGTAGTCAGTAACAGTGCCAAATGGCTTTAAGCTTTTGGGTTCTAGGCACTATGGCTCAAGGCTGCCTTCAGCTAGCTTGGATCTGGGTCTGAGGGCTGCACTACCACTGGGAGGAGGAGCTCTGAATTTCCTCCTTCTTTGTGGCTACAGGGAGGAAAACACCCAAGAGGGAGCGGGGCAGGAGGGAGGAAGGCCTCTTTGCCAGGAAAGGAAGTGTTAGAGCCTGAAACCACCTCTCCCTTGTTGAAATGTCCTCCCTTGGCCCCAGGGAAAGGACGGGGGGGGGGGGTGTCCCAGGTTCCCAGGCCTCTGGGCTCCTGCTGAGAGATGAGTCCCGCTCTGCAAACACTCCCTGGACTGTGGCCTTGGAAGCTTTCCAATCCAGCCTCCCCATTTTAGAAACAAAGCAACTGAGGCCAGATGGAAGTGACTTTTCATACTGTTCACAAGGTAAGTCGGCAGCAGCTGAACTGCTGCTACTGAGAATTCAAGACTCCTGTTTCAGTGCTCCTCCACTGGGCCTGGTTGACTGCAAAGTCTCAGTGTGAACTCCCTACCTTCAGCTTCACCTCTGCCTGTAGGCACTTAAGAAGGCCCAAGGTGGATCTGGGGCGGGGAGATTTCTGCCGCGAGAAGAAGAAGCATTGGTGGTGGGACTGAAGAAAGGAAAGAGGGGAGGAGCAAGCGAGACCTGGCCCCCTTAAGAGGGCGGGCCAACCCCGCCGGACCCCGCCCCCCTGGGGCGGCGCACGCGCAGGCGGGCTCCAGGAACTCAGGCGGGAGGGAGGGTGCTCCTGGCTCGCGGGCCGGCGCGCGGGGCCGCAGCACCTGCGGGGGCCGGCGCTGGGCGCGGCGCCCGGCGGGCGGACTTCGACGCCGGGAGTCTAGGGCTAGGAGGCAGGCCTGGGACGTGGGGGTGGCCGCGAAACCCGAGGGGGCGCCAACGCGCAGCCCCCTCCCCAGGGGTACGGGGCGGAAGGAGCCGGGCGGGGGACGGTGTGAGCGCGCGCCGAGGGCAGCACCATCTGGAGGGGTGGGACCGCGCGGCCTCTTGGGGGCAGGCGAGTGCGCTGGGCAGTGAGGGCGGGGGGCGTCGGGCGGGGAGCGCAGGAAGAACGCGGTGGGCTCAGCCCGGCGCTGTCGGAGCAGCAGCCACAGCGGGTCGGGGTTCTCAGCTGGGGCCCGCAGCTGCTCCGCGGGCTGAAGCTCGGCGTGGAGGAGCAGGGGGGCGTGGGTCCGGCCGTGCAGGAGGAGGGCGGGGTGGGCCCGGGGGTGCAGGAACGGGGCGGCCGTGGCCGGGAGCCCAGCCTGGGGGTGGTGTGGGGTCTGTCAGACGGCGCGGACTGGAGGCGCCCGCCGCGGTGGACGGGCTCGGCGGGCTGGCCTGTGGTGCAGGAGGAGGGGCTGGGGCCCCGCAAGCAGCACCAGGAAAAGGGGGGAGGCAGCCCCGCAGTGCAGGAGCGTGGGGAGGCCCGCGCCGGGGTGCAGGAGCAGGGGGAGGGGAGCCCACGCAGGCTGCTGCAGCAGCAGGAGCCGCTCTCCGAGTTCGGGGACCGCTCCTGGGAGCGCGGGGAGGGGCTCGAAAGTTCCGGGGAGCAGGGGGGGCGTTACTGGGAGAGCTGCGGGCACCTCAGGCGGGAGGCGGTGGTCTTGGGAGCGGCCCCAGCACGCCGTGAGAGACTCGAGCTAGTGGGGAGGGCCCGGCCTGTGGGGCCCCAGGGGCCTGAGGGGGAGGGGCGCCTGGGGGTGCAGGAAGCAAATTGGCTTCCTGGGGTGCAGGAAGGACAGGTGGTGCGGGCTGTCCAGGAGACATACCTGGACGAGAAGGGGTCGCGGGAGGGAGAGGGGCCCCCTGAGGGGCCCAGGATCCGGAGGCGCCGGCGGAGGAGGAGGTGGTAACCTGCAGGCCGGCTGCCCCGCACGGGGATCGCTCCGGGGTCGAGGGGAGCGCAAGATGTAGGGGTTTGGGGATCGGAGCGTCGGAGCGTTGGAACCCACTGCGCGAGAGCAGGCAGTGTGTCCTACTGGATCTTCTGCCACCTCAGCCTGGACCTCATCGAAACTGTGTCTGCGGGGAGGCAGCAGAAGGCAGCAGGTAAGGAAACCGAATTCTCTTCGCAGTGGGAGTTGGTGTGTTTTGAAGCAGGGGGCTGCAGTTATTTCAGGAGAGGGTGGTCTCCAGACTGCTCGCGTCCCCCCTCCTGTGTTTAAACCTGGGGAGGGAGGAAGCAGTGCAGTTTTTGAACAGCAAGACCGGATCCCTCCCCCAACCACTAAAAATGCCAACTGGAGTGATGGGGCATTTCCTTAGAGTCTAGACTGGAGATGAGAGTGTCTGGGCGGCTGCCAGGCCTGGGCAGAAAACAGAGAGGGGTAGCCCCAGGCTGAGGTTGCAGAGGCCTAGGTGGTCACCCCTCCAGCTGTCTACCCCTGTTGATGGGGTGCCTCCGTGCCAGGGCCAAGATGGTGCAATCAACACAGGTTTCCTCAGGTCCTCCAGACACATTCCATAAAAGGGAAGGGGCAGCACTGCATTAACAGGACCTTATCTAGGAACCCTCTTTGCCACGTGATCTGAGATGTGAGTGTGGCCGCTCGGGACTTGAGCACGAACCTGACCTGCTCCCATCACATCTATTCACAGCTGATTAATAACCCAGGGCCCAGGGCCAAGGATGAACAGGGACAGAAGGGCAGAGAACTGCTGGTGAGGCCTTCTCCGTGTGGGCTCTCAGGAGGGGTGGTTGAGGAGGGGATGTCCGTTCTGCTGGACTCTGGGCATCATCTGGGGCCCAGAGCTCAGCCTCACCCCATGGAGGTGGACAGAGGGGCAGCTGCGGCATCCTGGATTCTGTACCAGCCCGGGCCAGCTCCTAGCCCAGCCTAGAAGTGGGGGCTTGCAGGAATGGGGACTAAATTTGGCTTCTTGTGGTCCCCCATGGCCTGGGTGCCAGACCTGCTGATTCCTGGCCCAGAGGGGCTTGGTTGGCCGGTTTATGGACCTTATCTTCTTAGGGTTGTTCACCTCCTGGCACCATGTGAATTCCTGCTTCTTTCTCTAGCCCTTGGGTCAGGGTGGGTGCCGGGTTGCTGCCGGCCTTAGCTGGGTCCCTTCTTTGACCCAACCAAAAGTGTGGTCTTGGAGTAAGATGGCCCCCCCCCAGACCCTTGTCTGAGCCTGTGTGGGTGGAGGTAGTGCTTTCTTGTTGGGGCAGAGGGCTCGGCAAAGCCTTCTGCAGGTGGCTGCTGGAACAGTGCTGGAGGAGCCGGTTAGTCTGCTCCTCACGCAAAGCCCAGACCGTCTGTCAGCTTTGTCCCATGCCTGCCTGTCACCCCGCCACCCCCAAACACTCCTGCACTGGAAGTTCAGCTGCTGTGTCCATGGTGCCTGGCTCTTCTGGGATGGCCAGACTGGTTCTGGCTCTCTGGCTTTGGGGAGACTTGTCTTTTCTAAACACAGACACACAAGCATTTATCTTTATCGTATTTCAGGTCAGCTTTTTTGAGTTTGTGGTAGATGAGGAGAAGCACTTTGACAGACCCAAGTTTAGGCCACTTACTAGCTGTGTAACCTCCTGGGGCAAGATAATGTCTCTGGGCTCCAGTTTCCATGCAGGACACTCTGTCCTGACTGTAGAGGGCTCAGACGCCTCTCTGGCAGCCTGGTTCCCTTTTTTTTCAGGGACCCTGGCTCCTCCTGGCGGAGGTTGGAGAGGAGGTGTCATGCTCCCAGATCTTGTCCTCTGGTTCCTAAGTCCAAGATTAGCCCCTGCCCTGGGCTTCAGTCTGAAAAATGAAGTGTTTATTCTTTTCGGGTTTTTTTTTTTTTTAAGATTTTATTTATTTATTTGACAGACAGAGATCACAAGTAGGCAGAGAGGCAGGCAGAGAGAGAGAGAGAGGAGGAAGCAGGCTCCCTGCAGAGCAGAGAGCCCGATGCGGGGCTCGATCCCAGGACCCTGAGACCATGATCCGAGCCGAAGGCAGAGGCTTTAACCCGCTGAGCCACCCAGGCGCCCCTATTCTTTTCGTTTTTTAATAACAGCTTTATTAAGGTATAATGATATACAGTGAATGGAACATATTTAAAACAGTAAGTTTTAACATATGTGTATATCTGGGAAGCCATCACCACAGTCAAGACAATGAACATACCCATTATTCCCAAACTTCCAAAAGTTTTTTGTGTCTCTCCCCGATTCCTTCATCATGCCCCTCCTTTGCTCTCCCTTTTCCCCAGGCAATAGACCGGTCTGCTTTCTGTCTCTCTGTGTTAGTCTGCATTACCTGAAATTTTATGTCAATGGAATCAGACAGCGTGTTCCCTTTTTTTGCCTGGCTTTTTTCCACTAAGCATAATTATTTTGAGATTCATTCATGTTGTGTATTTCAGTAACTCATTCTTTTTGATTGCTGAGTAGCATCCCATTATATGTATAAACCACAGTCTATCCATCCTCCTGTTAATGGGTTCTTTTTAGTTTTTGGTTATTACAAATAAAACTGTGAACATATGTATTAGTTTTTCTGTGGAGATCTTTTTTTTTTAATCTCTCTTTGGTGAATCCTTAGGACTGGAATTGTGAGTCATACGGTAGGGATACATCTAACTTTTAAAGAAATTGCCAGACTGTTTTCCAAAGTGGCTGTACTATTTTTTACATACCTGCCAACTGAGGATGAAAGTTCTAGTTTGTCCACTTTTTTGTCAACACTTGGTGTGATCAGTCTCTTTAATGTTAGATATTCTAATAGGTCTGTATTGATTATCTCATTGTGATTTTAATGTGCATTTCCCCAGTGGCTAGTATTACTGAGCATCTTTTCATGTGCTAGATTGCCATTTGTGTATCTGGCCACGTGTCTGTGTGTCTGTTCGGATCGTTTACTGGCGACGTGTCTGTGTGTCTGTTCAGATCATTTACCCAGGGGCGCCTGGGTGGCTCAGTTGTTAAGCATCTGCCTTCAGCTCAGATCATGATCCCAGAGTCCTGGGTTCGAGCTGACATCGGGCTCCCAGCTCAGCAGGAGGGCTGCTTGTCCTTCTCCCTCTGCTTGTTCCCCCACTTGTGCGCGTGCACGTGCTCTCTCTGTGTCAAATAAATAATCTTTTAAAAACAACAACAAAAAAACCCCAAATAGTTTACCCATTTTTCAGTTGTGGGTTTTTTTCATATTCAGTTTTGTGAGTTCTTTATATATTCTGCATACAAACACTTTGTTGAATATGTTGGGATTTGCAAATATTTCCTTCCAGTCTTTGGCTTGCATTTTAATTCTGTTAACAGTGTCTTTTGACAAGCGGAAGTTTTCAATTTTAATGAACTCCAGTTTAACAATTTTTTAAAAAAAATTTGTATTAACAATTTGTTCTTTTATGGTTTTGCTTTTGGTGTCATGTCCAAGAAATCTTTGCCTAACCCAAGTACAACGGTTTTCTCCTATTTTTCTTCTAGAAGTTTTATTATTATTTTTAAAGATTTTGTTTTTAAGTAATCTCTACACCCAGCGTGGGGGCTTGAACTCACAGTCCCAAGATCAAGAGTCTCTCTACTGGCTGAGCCAGCCTGGTGCCCGCTTCTAGAAGATTTATAGTTACGGTTTTGCATTTAGGTCTGTGATCCATTTGGAGTTAATTCTTGTCTATGGTGCAAGGTGAATTGAAGTTCAGCTTTTTGCTTGTGGAGATCCAGCTATTGCACCACCATTTGTTGAAAAGACTTGTCTTTCTGTGGAATTGCCTTTGCACCTTTGTCAAATATCAATGTCTGTGTATGGGTAGATGTAATTCTGGACTTTCTTTTTGTTCCATTGATCAATTTGTCTGTCTTTATCCTAGTACCACACTATCTTGATCACTGTAGATTATGGAAAATCTTGAAATCAGGGTAAGATCTTGAATTTTATTCTTCCTTTTCAAAATTGTTTTAGTTATTCCACATTCTTTGCACTTTCCTATACATTTTAGAATCCATTTGTTAATTTCTACCAAAAAGCCCACTGGGATTTTGATTGGGATTGTGTTGAATGTATTGATGAATTTGGGGAGGTATCCATTATCTTATCAATGTTGAACCTTCTCACCAAATAAACAATGTGTATGTCTGTATTGGATTTTAATGATTTTCACCAATGTTTTGTAGTTTATACAGCTCTTTCACATCTTTTGTCAGATATACTTAAGTATTATGTATTTTTTATGTTATTGTAAATGGTATTTTTTACATGGTATTTGGCCTTTTTATTTATCTTAACTGTAGTAAAATATATATAACATAAAATTTACCATTTTAAGCATCTTTCAGGGTATAGTTCCGTAGTGTTAGGTACATTCACATTGTTGTGCAACTATCACCACCATCTATCTCCAGAACTTTTCATCTTGCAAAATTGAAAGTCTGTGCCTATTGAACAATAGCTCTCCATTCCCCCTCCGCCCAAGCCCTTGGAACCATGTTCTACTTTGTCTTTGTGAATTTGACTATTCCAAATACCTCATAGGAATAGAATCACACAGTACTTGTCCTTTGGTGACTGGCTTTTTTCAATTACCATACACAGTGTATTCAGGGTTCATCCATGTTGTACCATGTGTTAGAATTTCCTTCTCTTTTAAGGCTGAATAATAATCCATGGTGAGAATATACCACATTTTGTTTCTCTATTCATTTACTGGTGGTTGCTTTCACTTTTTGGCTGTTGTCAGTAATGCTGCTATAAAATGGTATTTTTAAATTTCAATTTCCTATTGTTTGTTGTTAGTATATATATAAACACAACTGATTTTTATATATTGACCTTGCATCCTACCACCTGTTAAATGTATTCTAGTAACTTTTTTGTAGCTTCCATTGGATTTTATACATAGACTGCCATGTCATTTGCTAATAAAGACAATTTTTCTTCTTCCTTTCTATTCCTTATGCCTGATAATTACTTCTTTTTCTTGTCTGATTGCATTAGCTATATCTTCTGGAATAGGTTGAATAGAAGATGAGATTACTTGTTCCTGGTCTTCAGGGGGAGACATTCAGTGTTTCACCATTATGCATGATGTTAGTTGTAGGTTTTTCATCTATGATCTTTATCGGGATG